CATCACCACCACCATCATCATCAGCAGCATCAGCATCAGCATCAGCATCAGCATCAGCATCAGCATCATCATCATCATCATCGTCGTCGTCGTCGTCATCATCACCATCATCATCATAACCTAAGCTTCTTTCGAGATCCAGATTCTTTCCGAAATCCGATACACGCCTCGAGCCTCAAACATCTAAACATTCGGCACCTCGGACTCAGTGCAACCAACCACATGAGAATCAGACGGCAGCAGCAGAAGCAGTAGCAGAAGCAGTAGCAGAAGCAGTAGCAGTAGTAGCAGTAGTAGCAGTAGCAGCAGCATGGTGGCAGTGGTGGTCGTGGTGGTGGTGGCGGCGTGGTCGTCGTCGTAGTAGTAGTAGCAGCTGTTGTAGTGGTAATTGTTGTTGTTGCTGCTGCAGCAGCGACCGGCTGATGTGAGAGGGAGATGGTTCTGTCCGAGGTTTAACCGGGGAGTTTCTTTTTCTTTCGGAGCTTTGGGCAATCGGCTCTGAGCTTTGTGATCTTTGAGTCGTCAATCCCACGTGGAATTGCAGAAGTCCTACGTTTTTGGAAGCGGGCTTCTGAGGCGGTGTCAGGCTTGACGTTCATGGGTACTTAAGGCGACTGCAGCCATGATCCATATGGGAGTTTCAGAAAACTAGAGTACCCTATTTAGGGGTCCTTACAATAAGGATCCTACTATTTAGGGTCCTATATCAGGGTCCCCTATTTTCTGAAACTCTCATATAGGCAGTTCTCTGAGTTGGGGTCCCTTTTAGGGTCCTTTTTTTTAAGGGTGCCGTGCTATACTGGGGACCTAAAACGGGACCCTAATTTAGAGAACTACCCATATAGGGGCGGGTTTTGGGGCCCATTACACTATAATTATACTAAGGAACCCCAAAAGTAGTATTGGTTGTTCAGGCCTTTACATTACTTACACCTCGTGGTACCTGTGGCCCCACGTGATGTCTGACATGCAAGCATCACAGGCGCAAGGGTGCAGGCGCCTTTCCACAGCTAACCGCCATGCACAGTCCGCCTCTCAGTCTCTGCTTACTCTTAAAGTTCGGTTTTTGGCATGAGAGTGACCTGACCCACAGAAACCTAAACCCTAAACCCTAAACCCTGAACCCTAAACTGCTGAGAAGCAAAAACGGAAAATGCAAAAACCAGAACTGGCGATAAACACCGCTGCAAGTTTAGCGCTTCAGGGTTTTGTGTTGACGGGTTTAGGGGTGTACTCTTGTAGGGTCTGATCAGGGTTTTATGGGGTCTTCTACGGGTTTTGGGGTTTTGGGCGCGTTTGGAAGTTGGCTGTTGAAGGTTCAGGCCCACTAGGGGCCGCGGTTTGGGCCTGAGGGGTTTAGGGTTTAGGGTTTCGGGTTAGAGTGTGTAGTGTTTCCGGCATTGCCTTCCTCAAACGGCTTCTTTCACTTCTGGTGGAGCTTCAGATGATGTTTGATAAAAGGTACTCGTCCTGGGTTCCTTTCTGTAAAGTCCAAACTCAAATGCCGTAGAAGCTGAATCTCCTCAAGCTGTGGAAGCCAAATCCTGCGTCGCACATCTGACGTTCGATGTGGTTTGGGGCTACAGGTTGTAGAGCCTCAACATCGCCGGGATTCGCCTGTGGGTATGTGCAAGATGGGTCTATAAACCCTAAACCCTAAACCCTAAACCCGAAACCCTAAACCCTAAACCCTATATCTACCCTGCCGTTCGCTTTGGTGCTGTGGGAAGTGGGAAGTAGGGTCTTCCTCGAGACATCTCTTGGGTTAAGGGTTTAGGGTTTAGGGCTCTATCCGCCACACAGAGATCCCCATGAAGGCCTGAGTCAATCAGAAGCCGAGCAACAGTTGAATCTAAATCACAAACTCTTTCCTAAACGCTAGACTAGAGACCAAATCCCTCAACCCCCACACTCACAACCGCCTAAAGCCCCCCAAAACCCCCAAAACCCCTAACCCCTAAACCCCAAACCTAAAACTCCTAGAAGTCCAGGTTTGCAGCCCGTGGTGCCTCAGGCCATCCGGAGGCGCGGTAAGTTGATGGGTAGTTTTAAGTAGGGCATAAGGGGGTTCATGGGTAGTTGCAACTAGGGTTGCAGTTCCCTTAATGTGGGCTATGATTAATAACTACCCGTGAACCTCCAAGTCGTGGTGGTAGTGGCTATGGCTCGCACCATGTTTGCTGCTGCTGCGGCTGGCAATCTTCTCTGGGTTTAGGGTTTAGGGTTTACTGGTTTAGGGGTTCAGGGTTCAGGGGTTAGGGGCTTTGGGTTTGTGATCGTTGCGACATGCCCCGCCCAATGTCAGAACCTAGACATTAGGGTGCCCGAAGCACAGGCTCCCTGCTTGGGAGAAACTGCCCGACTCCTCCGCTAGAGCTCTAACTTTTGAATTACCTGGAGGTTCGTGAGTAGTCATAAGTGGGTCAGAAGTAGGGTACCGAAATTATCATCCAAATTGGTATACTTATAACCACCACCTATAATGACCCATGAACCCCAAGTCTAAACCCTCATCACGCAAGGAGCCTTTCGAGACAGTGCTGCCTAGTCCTTTGCGGCAGCCAAGTAGCTTCAGTAACACACACACACACCTAAACCCTAAATCCTAAACCCTAAACCCTAAACCCTGAACCCTAAACCCTAAACCCTAAAAACACACCCCACAGCTTTCTACGAACCTTCAGCCGTACCCCTAAACCCTAAACCCGAAACCCTAAAGCCTCAAGCCCGAGAGCCCTAAATAAACTGTGCGTCCCACAGGCACCCTAGACTCTAAACCGGACGCTATTTTTATATTGAGGAACTCCCTCTATCAACCCCTATGAAAAGGGCCCATGCTCTAGGGGCCTTATTGGAATAGGGTTTGGGGTATATTACACCATAAACTCAGCATAGATATAATAAGAACACCCAGAAAACCTATTCTAGTTATTAAGCCCCCTACATT